GCCACGAACACCACGGCCGTGACCGAGTCCTTCAGCCCCACGGTGCAGCCGAAGTGCGAGGCCAGGTCGCCGGTGACGGCCGTCAGCACGCCGATCAGCGAGATGGACACCAGGAAGCAGGCCCAGCCGTTCCAGTACTCCGTGGGCGGCACGAAGGCGAACAGCACCTTCCAGAAGACGGTCAGGAAGTGCATGATGTAGTCGAAGCAGGAGGGCAGGCGCTCCTCCCCGCTCTCCTCCTCGTCGTCGTCCCCTGGGGGCAGGGCGGGCAGACAGGACATCGTGAGCGCAGCCCGGCACCCTAGCCGATTTCGCCAGCCCTCGCGGGAGACGCACCGGGATAAACGATACGCGGACGAGATGAGACAGCCACGGGTCACAGCCACTATACTTGGATTGTCCGACAGATCCAATGCAGCAATAACGTACTGTATACTGTAGTCTGATCAATAGATCCACGATAGTCCCGATATAGAGTCAGGTCCCCAGGTCATACAGTCACAATATATAAATCTGCTCAATAGATCCACAATAGTCACAATACAGAGTTGGATCTAAAGTTAATAGACACAATACACAGTCAGATCCATACAAAGTACTGCCACTATACAGTCTGATAGATCCACAGTTAATACAGTCACAACAAACTGATCAATAAATGAACAGTTAAAAGTCACAACAGAGACGGATCCAAATAGCCGTAATAGAGTCAGACCCACGGAAAGTACTGTCACCATACAGTCGGACAGATCCACAGTTAACACAGTCACACAGCAGTCTGATCAATAAATCCACAGTTAAATCGGCAGAATAAATGGATCCACAGAAAACCACCATACAGTCCAAGAGAACCAGAGTTAACTGAGAGAACAGGATTGAGAGCAAGCTGGGGTGTGCGAAAAGACAAATTCCTAATGCAAGAAATTGTATATGGCCAATAAAGCGATCTTATCTTGTGAAACAGAAGACGATGAGTGAATGATGTGCTTCTGTGGCTTGGGGGGGGGGGGGTTGGTTGGGCAGAAGGAGACACTGGTGCCAGGCGCAAGGGCAGAAGGGGCACTCGCACACTCTTCGGGTGGGGGCTCGCTCTGGGCGATGGCGTCTCTCGCAGCTGCGTCCTGCCCGCTGGGCTGACACGGAGATCTCGGAGCCACCTGACACCTGGCAGCGACGCCGGCACGCCCCTTCCTGACTGACTGAGCCGTGTGGCAGCGCACTGCACCCAGACAGGGAGTGTGCGCGAGTGTGTGTGTGTGT